CCCCTTAACAGAACATACAAAACACAGAACTCTTCTCGAAAACCATGTCCGCCGTCGCTGAGCTGTGAACTCCCACTGGCGGGAGGCGTCCTCCCCGCTCCCATCCGGGGTACGGCGTCTCCTCCAGTCCACCAGCACATCGAGACATTCAACAACCCTCAGTTTTCGAAGAAAAGTTCCAGCCAGGCCTTCACTGCTTGGAGTCCGCCAAAAAGGACGACATCATATCCTGCGCACGCGCCTGCTACTAGACACACCAACACTATCGCGACCCTGCCCGACACGCCTGGGGCAACGCAAACCAACTACCTCAACCTCGACAAATCCCCCACCCCCACCCCTTCTCGCCCACGACTCCCATTTCCTCTCCCTCTCTTTCTCGGAAACAACTATACAAGAAATTTTCCTGCTTTCGATACACAACAGCTACTCGACAAGCGTTCAGTCTATTCACAACCTCTCATCCACCCCACTTCACCGCCCCTTAACAAAAACCCCCGCACTGCAAACCACAATCTTCAACTTGCACGCCTCGCCCCGCTCAAACCACAGTACCTTCCATCATGTCTCGCAATATTCGTCAAAAGTTCCCTTCCGGCCCCCGCAAGGTCGCCCGGCGTCGCAGTTCAGTCACCTCTTCCTCCTCCTTCGACCTTTCAGACGAAGATGGTGGCTACTCTGCCGTCGAGGACATCAGCGACTCTGAGGATAACGATGAGGAGGATGTTGATGCGGCTGAGGAGGAGCATATCATCACTCGTGTGCTGCACCCCAGCAACGCCAGTTCCCCTCGGCCACAAAGTCCGCAAGCAGTGGTGGTACCAGCAAGTGTAGATCCAGAAGAAGAGGATGACGAGGATGAAGACGACGAGGAAGACGAGGACGATGAGAATGCAGACGCTGATGTGGATGACGGCGGTAGCTGGGACGGTATCGTTTCTGAGGTTGATGAAACTGTCAGCTCTGACAACCATGCGACACCGCACCGCGCCGCCCATGAGCGCCACGTCCGCTTCGTCGACGTGCCCTCGAGTGATTCGGACTCGACTGAGACTGAGGATGACCACGCCGACTTCTTCCCAGACCTTTTTGTCGACCAAAACACACTAGACCCGTCCTTCCGCCGCGAGATCGAGCAGGATGACGACGACAACAGCTCCTCCCATTCTGGCTCCTACTGGGACTTCCATGGCGTGTACGAGTACAACGCTAGTGCTGACTCGGAGGTCGAAGCGATCATCCAGGAACTGGAAGATGACAACACCCCGGTCGCCACACCCTTCCCTCTTCAAGATGCCCCAGAGATCCTTGAGCAAGCTGCTAGAGCAGTTGTCGAGGAGGAGCTGGAATTGGACGGCTATGAGAGTGAGTTCTTTCTCATAACAGTGTCCCAGCAGCCCAGTATGCTAATGTTAGCACTCCAGCGGATGGTGACACAACCGAAGAAGACGATGATGTTCCCATCCCTCCTGTGCGGCGCAAGCAGCGTCGGCCATCACCCGTGGACCAGTCGGATGAGTCTGACACAGGTGAGCCAATTAAAGGACGCCGTGGTCAGCCGCGAGTCGGGCGCTTTAATTTGGACAGCTCGGATAGGAAACCGATTGCGGTTGTAAACCCCATTTCGAGGAAGATGATGATCTTCACTCCACATCGTCGTCGACACCTTGACCTATCTCCAGAGCAGTTTAATCTGCCCGCGTACGGTGTGCAGTCTTCGCCCATGCTGGGGAGCTCCGCGCACATTATGATGAGCGCCATGTTTTCTTCAAACGCTGGTTTTGGGGACTTGATGAACACCCAGGCCATGGGGCCTGCAGAGGCCTTCTTCCCTTTCCCCTCCGAGCCCAACACAGCGGACGAAAGTTCAGACATGGGGCCAGAAGGCGAAGACGAAGCCGAGAGGAGCTTGGACATCGACGACTTCATCACATTCGATGCTGGATCGCACGCCGACGATGATGATGACGATGATTGGTGTCGAAGCGATGCTTTGGCCTCGACCCCTGCCCGACCCACAACCGCCTCAAGCGAGGGCGATTTGTTGTCGCATGTCAATGCCAGCAATGTCGGCGCTTTCCGTCGGGACCAAATCAATCAGCGTCTCATTCTGAGTGAGAAGGCGACCCAAGATTCCTTGGCATTCAGCAGCCCGTACAATTACACAGCACTGAGAGGCATCAAATCGGACCGTTTCGAGACGGCGGCGGCTCCGTTGACGCCCATGCGACGCCAAAAACGTCAGATGCAAGATATGTCGCGCAGCCCCTTGGAGACTGCGTCTCAGAAGCGGAAGGCTTCGAACGAACATGGACTTGGCCACAAAAGACATCGGAGTATATCCGATGTGAATCAATTGCGCATATGATGGGGACAGCCGAACAGGCAGCGTTGAGGAGAAGGTGGAAAAACGAATGAGGATGGCGTGGTCTGGTGGCGTCCTGACGGTCGACATCGGCCATCCCTGGCCTCAAGCTTGCTTTCGCTTTGCTTGTGTTTTGGCAGAAGCGACAGGCTCATCTGTTATTGTTTCATTTGTTCGAGCGTGCTGCTGATGGGTGCACCTGGTAATTATGGTGGCATTGGAGCACCAGCACGCCATGAGGGTTGATATCCTCAGGCGGGTAGACCGGAACACGTCGAACGTCAGATAGTTCAACCCCTTATCATGTATCTCTGGGATGCGCTGAGAGAACCCTGACCAACGTGACTTTGAGTAGAATGAACATCGCAATTCCGCAACGCGGTTAATCTGTCGAATGTCGAGATCCGTCTCGCAAAAGCCAAATTTACGCCACCATGACTGCGTCGTTTCAATAGTACCTTGACGGGAAGAAACCCTTGATTCCGTATGCATGAAATTTTGAGCTGCCTCTTCTGAAAATGCCCGCCGAATCCAAAAAGAAGTACTTGGAGTGATGATGCTTAGTAAGAGCTTGTGGCAAACTTTCGGTGATGTAGGTGGTCGGAAGAACGCTTGCAAGGTATGCTCCAGACACTGCACGTAGATTGTTGTCCAGCCGATGAACGTCTCACCGCAGAAGAGCTTCCAAAGTCTAGGTCATCGAAGACCGTGAAATGACAGAAAGGCACATCGGCTTTCCGGGTGACCATGCGTGAAATTCGCCAGGTCAGTGTTATGGTTGTATGGCTGACCTCAGTCCATCGGAAGCGAAGGGAGATCCGACTTGCACACCTGGATAGGCGAAGTATGAGCGGACGATCTGGTGCTGACGGACATGAGAGGGGCAACAGCCAAGCAGATTGATGGTCCGCTGGAGAGGCAAGTCTGGGTAATGCAGATGATAGGCAGCTGATCAGTGGTGCGGAGACAGAGCCAGGCCCATACACTATGTTCAACTGGCCATGTCCACTTGGGACAAAAGAAGGTTCTTGTGTTATGGTGAAAACGAATAAGCAAAGTGTCAGAGGTTAGCATGAGTCGACCACTTAGCGAAGACACGACGCTGTCAGTTGCAAAGGAGAACAGTGTATCGGCCTTGCCAACCATCGAATCGGCTCGAATGGCAGTTGAATGAGCAGTCGTTAGGATACTTCGAAGAGCCTTGACAACTCCTAACGCTTGACAAAGGCTCGGTCAGGATCTCCACAGAGAAAAGGGGCAGAGTTCTGTCCAGGTGGTCGAGGTCACTACGCTGGCACCCCGTGTGGTGCCAGAACATCGGCTCAAAATTCGACATGTAGGGCGGGGTCTCTTATGATGATTGTGCTCATGGTTAAAATAAAGAGCGCAAGATGTGACTATCAGCATGTTAACGCTAACGTGGCAGCAGGTTGGCAGTTGAAGTGAGAGGAGGGCTGCAGCAAGCCTGAAGGCAAAGCTTCTGAGCTGCATGGGCATGAATGTACTGGCATGCGGTTACGTTGCCGGTCAAGGCCGACGAGCCTAATAGCAGCCATGAAGGGTAATGCGTGTTGGGCTTGGGGGGCGAAATCGGCGAAGAAAGATATGGTCGGTTATGTGGAAATCAGAGGTGGAGTGTAGATGCTGAGTAGGTAGGTAATTGACTATTCGTTATAGGTTACTAAGCTTACTAGTCACAGCACAGTAAGGTAGTAAATATTTATTGACTGACGGAGCCATTTACCTCCTTTCTTGTGAATTTATACCACGTCTTCGTCAAATGCCCTGCTAGGCGTCGACAAGTAGCATCTTAGTTAGTTTGTGTCACCTACTAGTAGTGTGGCCAAAATTAGCCAACCGCAAACATGATCACCGGCTCAACTAGATCCTTTGAAGACTGTCAAATGGGCTGTTGACTTATCTGCGCGTGATATTTCATGTACAAAACTCCGTGGGTATTACATTCCTTTCCTACGTCAACGCCGAACCGACACTGAGATTCTACGGCAGAACGCGGTTAACGTACAAGGTACAGTCACTAGAAGCAATTTTGACGACCCGAAACAATGAGGGCAGCGTCTTTCCCTTTGACAAAACCCTGGGGCAAGTATAAGCTGTGCTGCAACTATAGCAGCGTCAACTCGGCTGTATATCGTCTTGTTAATTTCATTTGCAATGTGATTGCGCGTTGTGCGACTTCTATGAATACCTTAGTGATTGACGATGCTCTATGATGATCTGGCTGGCTGTTGTGATCGTAATGGTGCTGGGACTTCAAGCGGCTTCCACGCCTGTGTGGCCAGGCCGTAGTGTGAAACAACAATAATCAAAGGCTGGTCTTATAGTCATTGCTTATAGCCTGGACTCAAGGGTTCGAGATACAAGGGGTTACAAGCATGTTAGCGCTTATTTATAAATTTGTCCATCACTCACATACAGCTTACCTTCATCGTCTAACTCCCCCGCCCTTTTCATTTTGCGGCAACAGCGAAGACCTTTTCCACCCATAATCTGATTTCCACAGCGACACAGTCGAGTCATTCAAATCGGCAATTCCATGACAAGATTCTCACCGATTGACCTGGCAGCGGCCTGCCCAGAACCTCGTTGCCCGGGGGACTTAAAGTCAACTCGTATGTCCCGTGACGCCTTGCGACATATCACAGAACACGACAACAGCCACGACTACCCTTACTGTTGGGGCTATACTATCTTCCGCACTTTATATACGCCCGGTTCCGATGAGGCCATCGCAAACGCCATTGAGCGGCTAGCTGTCTATGCGAAGAATTTCACTCAGGAACACCAAATTTATCCAAGGGTGCCGGGAGCTGCGGTGGCATTCGACATCCGCCCGAATGAAGAGCTCTGGAGCCGCTACTATAGTGAGCTGGTACAGGACGGGCAGATCTGCGGGTTCCCCTGCGGAGTCGCCAAGCAGGGGGTCGGTTAGGGGCAAAGGGCTACGAGAAACGTATATATAGGCTGCGGAGGGCCCTCCAGACTGCGGAGGGCCAGAATTCAGATGTATTCCGACCCCCTACCTATCTTCTATCTGCTGCGGACCACGTGTGGATGACCTATTCACTCTGCTCTAACCAACGCTCTGACAAGTGCAGACTTTAATTACCTAATTTGTCAACGTTCTCTGCCGCGAATGAAGTACGCGGCCAAGTACTCCCATTTTGCCCTGCGTGCTTATTATCGCAGCCCCCGAGGCAGCCTGCTTTTGAGGGGCGCAGTGAATCGCGACAGGAGAAGAAATTTAGCAAAGTCGGGAAGGCCAATCAAGCAAAAATGGAGGAAATAACAAGTTCGATGTCATCTACGGGGGGATCTTTGACGCCGTTTATTGTTTCGTTCATGAATGGAGTATCAGCAGTTTTAGGTTTATCGACAAGACTGACTACCCGACAACCGGCATTGCCTTCGATACTGCATGGGCAACGCGGAGACGAGTGAAGACAGGTCAGGCTGTTCATTGTGCCTTGCCTTGTGATGAGCAGCTTTGAGCCAAAAGCTCAAAATGTTGGTCGCGTTTGCTGCCCATCGCGTCATCCACTTCGTCCACGACACGCAAGCCAATCTGTCCAGCAGACGACATCGACCCTTATTTCACATCGCGAGGAAGTCGCACGCTGCGGATCCGGCGGTTCATTCTATTCTCGAAGCCCACAGGCCGCAAACTGAACCAGGTCGCGGCGCATGCAGACAGGGGTCCTTTTCATCACCTACCGTACAGTGACCCCTGAATGCCACGAATCAGCATTAAATAGCTGCCGCAAGCCGGCAGCAGAACCCGAGGCCAAGGGGATCACCATGCATAGGCGTGTGGATGTTACTGTTGGTGAGAAGATTTCTCTTCACATCATTGTGAGTGATGATAGATGCCGCTGTCCAAATCCCATCGCCATACATGTAGGTGCAGGCCCTGTTGCTCGGCCCATTGCGGGCGCCATGGGTATGCTCCCAAGGCTCCTTGAAGACAAACCATCGTAAGGGGCAAGGCTGGCTGGTGAGCAAGTTTGATTCCACAGTACCCTACCGGGAGGATGCCCCGGCGATCTGTCCTGGTCAAGGGGGCCCCTGCAGTGATGGACTGACTAGGACGTATACGGCACAGGCGCCGCCACAGCGTGCTAGAAACGGCATTTGATCGGCAGATGGCAAGCGATGGCCAAGCGAGAGGCTCGTTGGTGGAGCACACCTCTTTTGGACGACAGGCGCTGGACCACCCGCCAGGGTTTTGATCAGGTAAGTACAGCCGCTCATTCCCTGGCGACCACCATGACCAACCGCCCAACGCGCATTGTGCCACCGCCGACAAGGGTCAGACATTGTTGGTCGGAAATGTGGTGTATCTGGCAAAAGTTTGACGATGGTGCATATGCTGATGGGTCGACGACACAAATTGTCGTGTCGTGAAGCAGGGCCTTGATGGCTGCAGGATGAAGTTGGGATGCCTACAAATACCTCGGAAGGTAGGTAGGTACTTCAGGTGAGGTACCTAGGGACGATCAGCCCGAGCTGTCGGCCCTTCCTCAGGGTCGTCATTAACGTCTTACATTTCTGCGGTGCACTCAGGGGCAGCATTGCATAAACGTTCTCCGTCTGCACTGCACGCCACCTGTCATTCGTGGCTTCCAGTTGTTCGCCCTCTCAGCTTGACCTGCCTTCCCGACCTTGTACCCCGCGCAGCGACATTGTTACGCCTCTGCCTGGGAACGCCCGATAATGGCACCACCAGATCCTCCGACACAACGATGCTCCGATGATCCCGTCCTCATCATCGGCGCTGGAATCAGTGGCTTACTTCTTGCTCAGCATCTCCTTCATCGCTCCGTGCCCTTCCGCATCTTTGACCGCGATGCCGATTTCACGACTCGTGGAGTTGGTTGGGGCTTGACCTTGCACTGGTCTCTCCCCGCCATTCGCACGCTTCTCCCCGACAAGTTGGTTCAGCGTTTGCCAGAGACATATGTCGACCGTGAAGCGGTCGAGCGTGGAGAGACATCCAGGTTTCCTCTCTACGACCTGGCCACAGCTAAACTCGAAGCCGCCACACCGCCTGCCACCGAGGCCCAGCGCATTCGCGTCACCCGTGAACGTCTACGCCAGCTGATCGCCGAGGACATCCCGATCGAATGGTCAAGGGCGTTCTCCTCCTTTGAGGAACAGGGCGAGCGCGTCATTGTCAAGTTTGACGATGGTTCAGAGGCCACTGGTCGCATCGTCGTTGGTTGTGATGGCAGCACCTCCCGCGTCCGCCGCGCCGTGTTCCCTGAGCAATACAAAGGATACCACCTTCCAATCCGCGTTCTCGGTTTCACAGCCAAATATACAGCGCAAGAGATTGCTCCTATGAAGACGCTCGACCCCTTCTTCCTCCAGGCCACCTCGTCTCAAGACAACAACTTCATGTACTTCAGCAGTACGTATACCTCGTCACATGCCCAGCACCGCATGCCCCCCTGTTCCTTGCAATTTGGCGCAACCCCCCCCCTGTGGGCCTGCTGCACTCTCCAGGGGTCCCCGAAACTAACAAACTTCTACATGTAGTACTCGACGCCCCGGGAAACACACCCCAGTCCAACAAGGCAAACTCTGTATCCATGTACACCGGCCAGGTTGTGGTGTCCTGGCCCTACCAACCGGGTTTTCAGTCCCGCGACTCCCCCCTCGATTTTCCCGAGAACGAAGATGCCAAGCGAGCCCTCATCGGCTCCTTCGCCCAATCATGGGCGGAGCCGTTCCGTTCCATCGCCATGGGCGTTGCAGCCAGCGCCGAGGTCAAGCAGCTTGAGCTTCAGGACTATGTCCCTGGTGAGGGTCTGCGGAGCGCGGGCCGAGTAGTGCTCATGGGTGATGCCTTCCACGCCATGACCATGTGTAAGTCATCGCATTATTCTGTGACTGTCTTGGGTGATGCGATCCGATGCTAATGGGAACTTGAAATGAATCAGACAGGGGTGAGGGTGCAAACCACGCAGTTCTGGATGTGCTCGACTTCTCAGAGAAGGTAAGTCCGTGCCTCGAAGCTGGCGAGGGGAACCTGCGGGCTGTGTTAGATGCGTATGAGGATGGAGTAGTCAAAAGAGTGAGACCGGCTGTGCTGGCTGCTCGAAGAGCTTGCCTTGATGCACATGAGTGGACCAGGATCACGCCTACGAGCCCTCTATTGACGAGGAGGGAGGCCTTCATGCACTACGAGGAAACTGAACCTTGGGAGGCATGATAAGGTGCCATGCCCATATCTACACTGCATCACGTTTGATTCACAAGGTACTGATGTGTACTGCTCCTCATTTCTGAAAGGATCTACAAGTTTGTTTTCTATGGCTACTGTAAGATGAACGATCTTCATCGTGCATGCGAGTTCCCGAGTCGTGGACAAATACAGCGATCTACACCATCTCAAACAAGGGCCAGTCATATCTATCCACACCATCTAGAGATCTAAGCGGCCCGCCGCTTTGCTAGATGACGATGTTGCCGCCGCGTTATCGTCTACCTGAACAGAATACGTCATGGATTTGACAATGGAGTGATCCGGCAGTGTCGAGAGAATGTTCTCTTCGCTGTTGCTCCTATCATTCGCCGAGACAAACGCGCTCTTGTCGCGCCCGACGTCGCTGAGCTTGTAACGGTCGCCGCTTTTGCCTCCAAGGACATGCGATCCCGAACGGCCATACCCGCTGGTAGGTTTTGAGCGGTAACTACGGGCCTTCTTAACAAAGACGGGCGCGAGGAAGGGCAATGAGGAGACGACATTCTGAGACTGGTAAGCCACTGCCCCTAAGTTCTATCACAAGGCTTGGCGCAAAGACTTACGCCGACATTGAATTCAATCGTGCCCCAGAGGACGAGCATGGTGGAGTTTCCGTCGCCGAACTGGATCCGATCGATCTGGGTATATCTCATGACGGAGCAGATGGTGGTGAAAATGCCGAGGATAAAGACGACAATCAGGCCCAGCTTCTTCTCGAGCTTAATATTGAGCTTCAATAACACCGGAATTGGTAGTAATGTGACGATGATATCTGAAACAATCGTGACAACGGCGTAGCCCGTAAACGACGGGCCTGGAGGGAGGCAGACGCCTGCCTTGAGCGGATTCCATGACTTATCAACCTGTGAGCTTGAGGTTAGCGAGTCGACAACATGACGAACTATTTTATATGGCTTGTCATACCGGATCACAGGCAAAGATGAGAGCGAGAGTGCATCCCAAGTGGCTGCAGAATACAAATCCAATGGTGGCCCAGACCACTTTACGATATGTCTTGTGGTCTGTGCCTTGGAGAAGTCGAAGGTAACTTATCAGAAGAGCAATCTTGAAGAAGCTGATGCCGAGTTGGTAAAAAGGCCGGCCTGCATAGTTGACTCTGGTATATGTGATAAGGTTGGCTTTTGGTCGAAGGAGAACTGGCAGCCCTAAACCGTACCGAGTTTCTACACATGTAAGCCACGGGAGGACTCAGCCGAGAGGGGTGATATTGACGTACGAGCCACTGTCAAGATGGAGTAGACCAAGGCAAACAACATCGAAAGCCCAGCAAAGTAATCATCGGCCGCGAGCCCGCGCGCCTTGTGACGAATAAACAACCTTGATGACACCACGGTGATGGACATGAACGACAGCGCCACGCAGAGCCCGATGATCAGAGGCCACTGCGAGATGGCCTCAACCTCGGGCGACGCGTTTCGCACCCATCCCATAGTCCCGGCTGTCTGCTCCAGAAGTCTCGTTGAAATCGAATGAGTTCGGTTCAGGTCGCAAAGCAGTAGGTCGAAGTTCGCCGCACCAAGTGCCGTCGAAATATTCCAGAACGTCCAACGTCACTTGTGCTCGGGTCTCACAGACGACAAGCAATACGCAAGGAACGTGAGTGGAACATCCCCATGCTTTAAACAATATACCCTCGCGCCCAAAACCTTCTCGCGGCCCAGTCCTCTTGTCCGTCCGATGATCCCACAGCTTTTAATGTCGAACCAGTGCAGGTGTCTCACCACCAGCAAGGGATCGGCAAGGATAGTGCGCGAAAAGAATGAACCAGTAACCAAGCCCGTCACCTTCCTCATGCTTGCGTCTATCCATGTTGACCCGTGGGTCGCCGAAGCTTTGTCAGGGTCGAGTCGAATTGCATGAGGCAGAATAGATAGCTCTGGCATCTCCCAGAGCCGGGGACACTGCCCGTGCCTCAGGGACGATACCGTCCAGCTACCTCTTTCGCCAGTTCGCCGGCCCTGGCACATCTCGAGCGAAATTTGAGACAGACCACTGCCAGACTGGGAAGAATAATGTAACCTTCGCCAAGGGGCCAAGCTTCCTCTGCGCAGGCCTGGAGAGGGTGCGGCGCAATTGGCGAAGTTCCAAAGGCGCCACCTGTGCCGCGGGCGAAGATGTTTGCTTCGGTGTTTGCTTCAATGATTGCTACAGTACACCTCATTAGCTTCACATAAAACGTCCAGGGTACCAGGGCATCTGAACTCATCCAGCGAATAGGCCGACGAAAGGTCTCGCCTGGCAATCATGCCACCGTTGCCCATTTTGTGGCTTGCTCCATGGTTCGCTAGGGTCGAGCTCTTCGAATACGACGTCGAGATTCCCCTCAACCCCCTGGTCCCATCCCGCTTCCACCCGGACGATCTGGCGGTTCACCCACCCTCTCCCTTGACTGTCTGCCGCGAGTACCCTGGTCCCTGCAGCACGGCACAGCTGCCGCGACGTGGTAGAGCATGCATACTGCAGGTTTTTTACTTCGTCTAACGAACTAAGCTGCAGGCTCCTTCGATTCGGTTTCGTTCTTGCTTGGTAGTGCAATCCAGAACACCAAGGGTAGTCTGCCCGTTGGCTCGCATCTTGTCTTGATAACCTGACCTTCCCCTGTCGGTTGGATTTTTGGGGCAAGCCGCAGCAGTTGAACCTTGCCACAGTCCTGCATGATGCAGCTATTCATTCGGATATTGTACAAAGATTGTCAGCTTGGCGGACCAGGTTCAGTTCGGTGTTCATAGGGTCCTCATATTGGCCACTTTGGCGGTTTTGCTCTTAGCCTTTGTCGCATCTGTCCCATGCAACCTCATATAACCAGCGCGAAAGGTTCGATTACTCGTCTCAAGTGACTCGGCAACCCAGCTTCCACCTTCACCTTCAGCTGCCCGCTCATCATCTTTATTCTGACTTGCTTTTTCTGGTTCGCCCCGTTGGCATTCGCGCGTGGTCTCGTCTACGTCAGCTTCTCCCTGGTGCTGTCGATCATTGTTCGTGTCTGAGACCATTCCCCTGTGAACAGTACTGGAAAGCTCGCACTCCCATTTTATCCCGCCTGCCAGGCTTTCCCTTTCTTCACCCCAGTCGCGAACGGCAACGCAAAGATCATACTACGAGCACAAGCAGTCATGTCGTCGACCGGTGAAAATTCTACCCACGAGGGTAAGGGCGATCCTCTCGAGGCCTCTGAAGCGGTGCCGGGCACTTATGCTTCGCCTGGCACAAATCGCGTCGATGCCGCGTGGGAGTATCTCAACGCCAACCGGGGCATGGACTACGAGCAGGTAGACCTTGCGAAACTACGGCGCAAGATTGACTGGCACATTGTGCCACTGATGTTCTGCTGCTATACAATGCAATTCCTCGACAAGGTCATCCTCAATGTAGGTGTTCCCTGGCACCAAGGAAGGATGGACAACCAGCTCAGTGTTCTCAGTTGCTGACCATTGGCCTGTTATATACAGTACGCTGCTGTCATGGGGATTCGCGATGACCTCAACCTTCAGGGCAATGATTTCTCCAATGTGGCGACCTTTCTCTTCGTTGGCCTACTGTGCTTTGAGATTCCTAACAGTAAGTGATATTCCTAGCGAGATACGACTCGAGCGCTCCCCGTGCCAGCCCTGGCGCTGCTCGTTGTCTCGGCATCTGCCCCTCCCGCCAGGCCAAAGACATCATGCTGACCCGCATCGTCTTGCCTTGCTCTTCAGTCTACTTCCTCCAAGCCGTCCCCGCAGCCAAATGGCTCGGTTTCAACGTTGTGGCCTGGGGCATTGCGACCGCATGCGGCGCCGCAGCGCACAACTACACAACACTGCTCGTGTCGCGCATCTTCCTAGGCGTCTTTGAGGCGACCATCGGGCCCTCGCTCATGCTCATCAGCAGCCAGTACTACACTAAGTCGGAGCAGGCCCCACGCTTCTCCTTCTGGTACCTTGGTCTCGGTCTCGGGCAGATCATGGGCGGTGCGCTGTCCTACGGGTTCCAGCACATCACTGGCGCCGGGTTGGCGGGATGGCGCATCATGTTCATCACGCTCGGCGTTGTGACCGTCGTCATTGGCGTGGCCACGTTCTTATTGCTGCCTGATACGCCCATGAAGGCGCGGTGGATGACTGACGGGGAAAAGGTCGCCCTTCTGAAGCACGTGAGTGTCAACCAGACGGGCATCACGGACAGAAAGTTCCGTCCCAAGCAGATCTTGGAGGCCCTCGCGGACCCTCAGATCTATCTCATGGTCCTTGCTGTAGTGCTGGTGAGTTCCATCTACCCGGTCCCCTCAAACACATACGCGGTTCACAGCCACGTGCAGGTGATTTCATGGAGTCGCGACTGACACGGCATGTACCCCTTTCAGCTCTCGGTGTCCAGCGGCGTCGTCACCACCTACTCAGCGACGCTGATTCGAAACCTCGGATATACGCCTAAGAAAGCGGCCCTCATGAACATGCCGTCGGGCGTCGTCAGCATCTTCTTCACCTTGTTTGTTGGCTTCGGCATTCGTATCAAGTCCCACCGATGGGCTTGGATCGTTGCCTGTATCTGTCCAGCGTGAGTCCCAAGCAGCTGCAGGCATCGGCCTTGACTAACAATTTGGCAGCATCATGGGCGGCGCCCTCATGTCATTCCTGCCAGTGACCAACCGTTCCGGGTGTCTGGCAGGCATCTACCTCGTTAATGCGGTTGTTGCCCCGCTGACAGTCTTCTACGCTGTAAGTCGCACTTTTCTCCCGCTCGTCGTCCCTTCTGCCGTCTGCTAGGCCCGACCGCCAGACACGGCATTCCAGTCCAGAAAAGGGAAAACGAGACTGATATGAACCCGTGTCTCACAGTGGACGGCTGCCAACGTTGCCGGCGCCACGAAGCGCGCATTCGCCGTGGCCATTGTCAGCGGTTCGTTTTCGCTGGGCAACATTATCGGTCCCCAGACATTCCAGGCCCGCGA